TATATATATATATATATATATATATATATTTAAAATGGAGATCGTGTATGCAAGATTATTCAGATTAATTTTACAGTATAAACAATTATTATCTACGAAACAATAAAGAAAAAACAAAAAATACCGCTGCTTTCTAACGGCATGCTCTGTATATACAAAGGAATCTTCCAAATTGATTATTTTATATTTTATCTACACGCGAGCGTTTTTTTATTATCGATAATTTTTCAATTTCGTTGAACAGGATAAATACCGTATTAAAAAAAAAAAAAAAAACCTATCAAAGTTTATAAATATATTATTATTATAAATGTTTATACTTGTGGTATGGCAATTTGAAGAAAAATAAGTCTGACTATTTTTAAACTAAACTATAACCTGTGTAGATTATTATTTTCGAATATTATATTCACATAGAATAACATGTGTGCCCTAATATGGAACACATTCGGTTTAACTAACATAAAATAAAATGACACAAATAAAAATAAACATACACACATATATATATATGTAAAATAGAATTTTAAAAATCATTTATAAGAAATGTTGACCTCAACCTTGAATTTTATTACATTAAAGAAGAATATCGAGAAAATCCTTATTTTGCATGTTATCAATGCATTAGATTGCAGTCACTCGAATTGCATAATCTATTCGAGTCTGTTGGCGATGAGACGAGAGATAGTTTGATCGTAAAATACCGACCTTGAGAATTACGATTCAACTTTATATATGTATATGTGTGTGTATGGATATAACATATACTTTTATCTTACAACCACGAGTGGTAATGAAAAAGTCGTTGCGCTTTTGAACATACTAAAGTGTGGAAGAAAAAAAATGCTATATGCAAAAAGTGTATGCACATTTGAAAGATCTTTGGGTTTACTTTTCCAACAGAGATTGTCTTTCCGATATCGTTCCTTTCAAGAATGTGCTCTCGTTTCATTCGCAATACCATAGAAAGGAAAATATAGATAAAGTTTATTTCTCTAGGGGGAAAGAATGCATGCAAAGAAAGAAAGAGAATTTAAATAAGTCATTTCATAGTTACGATTTCTCTCGTGCAAAATAACTATTTATTTATATCACGTGTAACACTTTTCCGAGATTTTTTTATAATTTTTTTTTTTTGTATCTTTAAACTACACGTCAGAGAAATAAAAAATAAAAAAAAAACAAACTAACAAAAAGTTACTCAGTGAGATAGAGGAAATGTTGTGTCAAATAGACGTCACACGTTCAACAAGTCGAACCTATTAAATGTTTTTCTTCCTTTTCTTTTTTTTTTTTTTTTTTTTTTTTTATTTAAATATTACCATGTTTTTACGATTCATTTATCCTTCTAAAACATATACTAACTTGTTCAAATATTAACCACACTCTGTTCAAACATTTATTTCAATAAAATATAACTAGTATATGTGCTTATAGATTAGTTTAACCTAAGCTAACACGTGCAAATTCTATTTGTACTTTAATTGGTAGTACACTAACCCAGGAAGATATGATGATTTCTAAATGAAGAAAATTAGTTAGAGAAAAAGTTTTGAAATAATAGTTTATTTAAATAATAAATTGAATGATTATAAATCATTCAAGATTCGCGTGTTTCTTTTTTTTTTTTTTATTCATCCTAAGCGAAATGGAAACTACCGCTGACTATGAATTATGCGCAACCAACGTAACTTAACGCTTTCGCTATCAGAGAAAAGATGAAGGAACGTTTTTCTTTCATTTATAAATTTGCTATTTCTATCAGCATAATTTTTATCCTTGCCTAATCATCATCATCATCATCATTCAAATAATAAAATAAATAAAAATAAATGATAACAACGAATACCTAATCTTCAATTATTAATTAATTAACTTTTGCTTACCACACCCGAGACGAGAAAAATTGTTATAAAAAAAAAACTATTGCATAGATTTACTTCAACATTTTTTTCAGACTTCTTTAATACTTACTTAAAAAGATTATATAAGTTATATAGCTTTAAATTAAATTTAAATATATTTAAAAAATTACCAAAGTTGAGTACAATTGAGAAAAATGACTTCAAGTTGCAAAAGAAGGTCTGACTCCTTTGGACCAAGTGTGATATTCAAAGGTTAATTACAATTAATTTATAATTAAATCAAATGATAATTATTTTCACAAATACTAATAATAAAATATAATACGTAATAATAATAATAATAATAATATTTAATAAATACAATATATGAATCTCCTGCAATGCACACTCATTCAACAGTGCATAAAAAAACAAACAGACATAAAAGATAGAAATACTCTTTATCATTTATGTTAACAGATATTACGAGTATCAGTATTTGTGTGTGTGTGTGTGTATATATAACAAAGACAAAGAGACACTTACCAATGGATTCCTGACGCCAAAACGAACTTTGTAATACTTCTTAACAAATACACGCCAAAGAACGTAAGCCATGATGACGAGAGATTATGATCCTTGATGATTATGATCCTTGTCAATCGTTCTGTATTTTTTCTTCTTTTTTCCCCACCTCCTCCTTCTTCTCCTCCTTTTTTATTTTTTTATTCAACAAAAGCAAAATTAATCATCCGTCCACTTCTACCTCGTCGTCGTCTTCTTCTTCTTCTTCTTCGTCTTCGTCTTCGAGGTAGTTTCTCAACCTCGAATTTGTCTTCTCTATGCGCAAACATCGGTCACCAACGCGTACGATGCCCGTATTTTCTTTTCTTTTTCGATTTAACGATATTACCACGATCGATGATATTTCTTCCCATCTCGATCGATAATTATATTCCCTAACTGATGCCACCTTGAATATAACACTTTGATTTGTAACCTAACAAGATTGATTTTCTAATGCTTCCGAACGAACGAATCGAACGTACGTACGAACATTTATTTCTAACAAAACAACATTTATTCATTACCTCGTCCAATTGTTTTAAAATAATAATATTGTTATTATTATATTTATTCGCAAACAAAATAAAAAAACAAAAAACTTGTCAAATTAAAATTGAAATCGATCACGTGTGACGATTCCATTGTCCAATGCACTTTCACAATATAACTGCTTCTTCAATATATTTCAATAAAAAAATATATCTATATATCTATATATATATGTAATCCTTAAAATATGACGTCACTAAAAAAAATAAAATATAATATTCTATTACATAATTAAATTAAAACTAATAACTCCTCGTTGTTTACTGTATTTAAAAATTCGAACGATCACTATGATTATTAGTATCTTTAATAATACTTGTCTACGATGATTATTTTGATTAAGAAAAACAAGAATAAACAAACGACACTAACTATCTTTGTTAAATTCAATGTTAAATAATTATCGATGTATAATAACGCGCGAAAATTCAAAGAATTCGAAAACGAACAGATACTAAAGACTAACTCGTACGACTGCCACCACTCGCTGCCGAAGTATTACTGACACGAACACGCAACACAACCGGGCATCCGCTTAGATCGAGGAACGACGGAATGAAACGAATGAAACGAATGAAACATTGGAACGATACGTGCCTTCCTGGAACGTTCTTTGGTTGCGTCTGCGAACCGATTGTATTCAAACGTTGCTAATTTTCAAACCTGAAATAAATCCAAATAAATCATCAATGTTTTATTTATTTTATTATATTATTATTATTATTATTATTATAAATAAAAACAAATATATACTTATCTTTTTCTGGAATATCCTTGAGATGTATCTGCAAAACGAATACTATTCCAATATTGTTCTTTGGCACAAACCTACACAAAAATTATATAAATTATTATATTATTTTTATTTATTTATTTATATCAGAAAAAAAAAATAATTTACATAGTAATAACAAGGTTAATATACATAGTAAATCCTATAAGAGGTAAACATAGTTACCTGTACATAGTAAAATTACTAATAATTAATTATTAGTAATTTTAATTATTAAATTAATGTAATAGTGTGTGGTACATACTAAAATGACTAATATTTAAAACTAAAAAATATAAATCAATTGAAATAACATTATATAAGCTTGAAAATAATTGTCAACAGTGATACTATCAATATTTAATTAAACTATATCACATATTACATTTTTTTAAATAATTATTTATTAAAATTATAAAAGATAATTTATTAAATACTTTAATAGCTACAATGTAACTATTTTTACTACTCAATGTTTTTTATTTTTTTTTTTTTTAAATTTGCCACGAGAATATTTTCTTATTTTATTAAAATACTATACAATGTAATGTACATACTAAATGAACGAACGGTAGAATTTATTTGAAATTATTTTAACTGTTAATAACAATTACAAAAGTTCAAATAATTTTTGGAATATGATGCAGAACAGACTGTAGGAAAAAAGAAAAAAAAACGTTTACAAAACTATATCCGTTCTTGTATGAGTAAAACAAGCGTAACCCAAGCAAGCAATAGTCTTCTTCATATACCCCCTGTACGTATTATACTAACACGCGATCCAGCTTGTTTACATTTGCTTGTTTTCACTGTGCGCACTCGCACATTTCCAGCCTCATTTCCTTACACGGATATTACTGTTGTGTGTGTGTGTGTGCGTGTGTATGTGTACATAGATACGATAATACGCCCACCGTTTCGAACCCTCGCCTAATGCGCCGGATCAATTAACGAAATGAAGGCTCACAATCATTTTAAAGAGAGCATTATTTTCTACAAGAAAATCTTTATAGGAAAGTTTTCAATGTTTTTTAATGTTCACCATACTTAAAATAGATCATCAATTATCTGCGCTATCTGTATGGATATTGTTTCATTGTATATTTTCACTGTTTATTTATAAATATCAAAGATTATTGTGAGAAAAGAAAGTTGGAGCATGTTAAATGCGATGGGTTTTTGATAATTCAATTAAATATAATACTTTTATGATTGTGGTTGTAATGTTAAATGGTATAATTCTAAACACTGTATTAGTTTATTATTTTAATTATGTTATCTATCATGATAATTTGTAGTATGTTGTTGTAGTATACCAGTGACATTTTAAAAATATTATAGAGCATAGTCAACATGTTAACATACATTTTTGAAAGACCCTATATATTCTAAAAATTCTTCAATGTACTTATACAAACTTCAAATTCAATGTTATCTTCTTCTGATAATACAACTTCTCAGATAATTTAACGGAAGCAGGTAAAAAGATAAAAGTAAATGACTACGCTTCTTAATACTTTTTTTTTTGTGTCAAATAATAAACGTAAAATATGTTTACACAAAGGACAGTATCATAATTCTAATATTTTTCTTTTGCTATGAAAAAAAAAAAAAAGAAGTCGGTGTCGTTCAGAGGAACTTCATTTCACTTCCTGTTCCGCACTATAGTTTAGCCGCCTTTTACTTCTTCTCTTACCTTCTTTTATATTCACTTAGTATTCTTTGCATTGGGCTAGAAAAGATAGACTACTCGAGCATGCGTGAAGCTTAAGAAAGTTTCCATAAATGTAAAAGATACACTTACACGCACATACACACACACACACACACACACACGGAGGATGCATATAAATCAATTTCCACTGTATTTACATTTACATTTAAACATTTCATATAGGTACCATTGTATTTTTTACATGAATTTTTTTTTTTCAAAATAATCCTTCACACCAAAATCAATTTTAAAATAGTAGTAGTGTAATCGTTATGAGTTTAAACAGACACAAGGTAGACGTAATCGATTCGAATCAAGTGAGTTATTTCTTTTTTTTATTTTTTGTTTTTTTTTTCATCGCTACACCCTTCGAAATTCTCGACGATTTTTCGACAAAGTCGACGACGAGTCTGAAGTCAACCGGTGAGAGTTGTATGAATGAACGGGACATAACCCATCGAGAGACCTTTTCGAGGGTACTCACGTGCTCGTCGCGTGAGGTAGGCACTCCCATTGTCATGTGAAGAAAAAGAGAGGAAGAAAGAATCTCTCCGAAGAGAGAAAGAGATAGATGGTAAGATAAAAAAGAAAGAAAGAAAAAAAAAAGAGTAGGAGGAGCAGAACCGAAGGGATGAGATGAAATTAAAAAAAAAAAATTACGAAAGGGAAGGTGCGTGTCACGTGCTTAATATTATTATAGATTTCTTTTTCTCCTAGATGATCCATGCTCAATCATTAATCATTTTTTCTATAGAAAATCTAAACTCTAAAATGATTATTTATCCAAAAGTTTCTTAACAATTAAATTTGGTGTTATCTATCGTAATATAATTACGATAAATCTCGGATACAAATCGTAGAAAAGTGAAGAAGCAACCGAAGCCTTAGGATTAACGTTAGGCTTCGGTTGTTCACTCTGCTACGACCTGTCTACGATCGGATAACTATTATTAGACAAAACGTTAAGCAAATCAAATGAAATTGAAAACATAGATCAATGTAGTAACATTGTAAAAGTCATACCTTATTTATAAGAAGTTTCATTTAAAAAAAGAAACTGAAATTTTTTTTTTTTTTGTTTAAAAATCCCCACACACATTTATCCATTATCCAAGTAAAAAAAAAAAAGTCAAGGGAGAAGAATATATCGGGTGTTAAAAATTAAAACGTATCGTCGTAGAGGGAGTGAATCAGCCCAAGGGGATAGACATGGCGTTCATTGGCCCCCATAATTACGATTTGTGAGGGTCAAGCCCGTTCGATCGTTCGAATAATGTAAGTAAAAGAGGGAGAGTGGTTTCTTGCGAAATAATAGACGGCATTCTTTATCGATAATAGACACGAGGGTCTCGCAAAACTACTTTGTTACTAAATTGCACACGTACACATATTTATATGATATTTTTTATCGAACCATATGAACCTTTGGGAGTATAAACATTCAAAAATACTCAACATAAGGAGCATCCTAATGTAATATATGTAACACATACATACGTGTGTGTAGACATATTAACCCTTTTCACTCGTGAAATTACACTTGGTCACCAATTCAAAGCTCATTCATGCAGAGGGGTGCAAATTTTTGTCATAATTTTTGAAAGGAAGGATTTTGCAAGTAAACGATTGGCAAAGGATTAAGATCTATTACACTTAGATAGAAATATTCTTACAATCCTTTTGTTGATTCATATCATTCATGATCGATCGATCGATAGATCGATCGATGTGTTGAAGAACGAAGCTTGATCAAAACGTACGGCATGTACTCACGTTCCTCTCGCCGAACGGAAGTTGAATGATCGTCTGGAATGCTGAACGAACAGGTTCGTCGTCATCGAGATGATAATAATGATGATGATGATGATGATGATGATGATCCTTGGTCAACCCTTCTGAGCATTTCTGATCGTTCTTTATTCCTGTTATTATGATGCGACGATCATACATTTTAATTTAAATTTCGAGAAAATTTTTTTTATTAATCGTGATTTATATTTCAAATTATTTACTGATGATTCATACGTATTCTACACACATATATTCTATTTTACAGTTCATATCGAACAGTTATTTTTCTTTCTTTCTTTTAATAAATTAAATTATTTTATTGCAAATTAATTAAATAGATAGTAATAATAATAATAATAATAATAATAATTAAAAAAAGAGTACTTCATTAAAAAAGATCAGCTACATTCTGTTACTTTCTAATTACGTATAATATATAACAGCAATAACGTAAGACACGCTTATAATGAATCATAAGAGGTAACTGATCGTGCAAAAGAGAAGGGTTAAAGGCACGAATCGACGATAGATAATAAAAGGTCAAATTGGCATACAATTCACAGAATAAAGAACAATGTAAGGTAAGTATCCATACGAATCTTTGATCATAAAAAGAATCGATTGAAATCCTGATAATACAAGAATAATAACACAGCAACAACAAGAATAAGAAGAAGAAGAAGAACAACAACAACAACAACAACAACAATAACAGCAGCAGCAACTGCAAGCAACAACTGCAACATACTACTACAATAAAGTTTCTTATATTCGATCGGATAAAATACGATGGTCCGTAATTCGGGCAGCACTGGCATAAAACTTTCCGATTCTGTAGATTTACGATTCTCCTCGCGGAGAAGACTCTTGAGTTATGGCATCCCATAGCCCCTGCGCGCTTGCTTGCTTGCTGCATTTGCAAACCCGTTGTACCCGTTGCACGTTGTATCGTCTCGCGAGCAGGTTTTGCCTGCGTTACACTTCATATTTGCCAGGGTGCATTCGCGAATAGTAGACACATACAAACACACATACCTGTGAATACCTGTGACTACTTCGAAAAGTTAAGAAATGGTGCGTTATCATCGACACTGTGCACTCTTGGCTCGCCTGAAAGACCTGTCTACCTTCGCAAATCACTTTTTCTGACATTACACGATACCCCCCTTTCCTTTCCTTCGTGTCGGTTCAAACAAAAATAAAAGAAAGAAATAAATAAAGAAAAGGGAGCGAGAAAGAGAGAGAGAGAAAGACACGGACTCTCTTTCTTACAACACAAAAACGAATGAACGATATTTCGTTGGGTAGCAAGCGGCACTAAACGCTCCTGCATTCTCTTACCGAAGAGAGAGAGAGAGAGAGAGAGAGAGAGAGAGACCTCCATGAGTGAACAACATCCCCCGTTTTGTTTCTTTTTTTATTACTTTCCTACGTCGAGGGTACATTTACGGCTCGCTTTTTATTTCTTTCTTTCTTTTTTTCTCCCACCTTTTATTTTATTCTTACCTGACGACTACGACGACGACGACGACGACGAGGTTTTTCGCCTTTAAGGATATGCACGCTATTTGTGTATGTGTATATGTGAAGAATTCTTTCTGTCCCTTCTTCTTCTTCTTCTTCTTCTTTTTTTCATTTTTAATACGCAGCAAACCTGTTGCTTTCCTTTCAGTTATTTTATTTTATTTTATTTTTTTTTTTTTAATTTAATTCTAAAGTAATTAATATAAATACAAAGAAAATTTCACTCGAATCTAACATTAACATGATTTTGTCCTGTTACAAATTACATAATACAATCTTTATAACATTTAAAAATCTGTATAATTGAAAAGTAAATTCTAGTAGAATCAGATAATATGAAAAAGAAACAAATACTATAGATTTTGTATGAGCTGATGTAATCATATGCTTTACGTTCGAGTAATCACGTTATGTAATTATGGTCTCTCAGCAATGACAGTGTTCTGAATAGCAGTCATTGGTATTGTCCTGTGCTACATATCGATCACTGTCCTGTTTCCACTTTCGATATTACGTATGTAATACTCATTACACGATTTCCAGCTATCTTGTTTCTCATTCTTAGTATATACATATTGCATAACTTATTTACAGTGTATGTTCCACATATAATATAAATACATCTAAATTTTCTATATATATATATGTATTGTTTTCTTAATGATAAAAATAAAATTAACTTTTATTTGCGATCGAAGATATCTTTTAAAATAACATTTGTAAAATGAAGATTAATAATACACTGTATAAAAAAGAAAAAAATACATATTCATTCGGAGACTAAATGTTGTTTTATAAATATGTATATATGGTAACAATTTTAAATGAATTAATCAAATCTGCTGTTAATTATTTCAATATCATTTGCTTGTATAATGGCCAATTTGATATATTTAAGTCATATATAGACAAATTATTTCTGTATATATTTATTTAAATGGTAAACTTAAATATATAGATTAATTAGTAGACCGTAATAATTAGTAGCAAAAACTTCTTATATTTCATAAAAGCTGGAGTAAAATACATAATGTTATTGTAAAGCATATTTGTGAATAATCATTAAGTTTTTGTTTTTTTTTTTTTTTTTAATACTACAATGTAACAAAAATCTATGATATATATATATAACATATGATCGGTTCTCTATTATTTGGTGAAATTTATACTTTTAATTGAATAAAACACATTTAACGAATCATTCAAAAAAAAAAAAAGAATATTATTTTAAATTAAATAAAAAGAGAGAGAAAAAACAACGATTTAAAAAAAAAAAGAAAAAGAAAAGAAAGAACACAGAAAAAAAAAACAACAAAAAAACTTTTAAAAGAATTAAAATAAATTTATATACATATACATACATACATATATATATATATATATATATATATATANATATATATATATATATATATATATATATATATGTATATGCATTTTTAATATTATTTTACTATAATTAATATAAATGCTATTATAATATATTAATGCAATTTTTTTTTTGCAATTGGTTTTTACTTCATATTGTTTTTTTTTGTTTTTGTTTTTGTTTTCTTCATACCATCTGAAACAATTTCATTTCTTAGCTGTTGAAATTTATTATCATATAATTCAGATCACAATTAGATTTTAATAAGAATGTTAGTTGTTTTTTTATTTTATTTTTTTTTTTTCCATAATAGTAAGAGAAGGGCAACGTCGTCTCAAAACAAAAATAATCTGCTATAATTATTATAAGTTTTAATATTATTACCAAAGAGATAAATATTAGAACATCATCTGCAGCATTTTGTTATTATTCGAATATTGTATGTATATTTGTATTTGAGCACCATTTAATGTGCACACAATAAATAATATTTAATTATTACACAACGTATATATGCAGTATAGCACAAAAGTGAAGTATTTTTTATTTTATTTTATTTTTTTTTTGTTTATTTTTTTTTTTTTTTATTTTCTTTCTTCTCTTTCTCTTTCGTAATCACATTTGTGCATATATTTTTTTCTACCCCCAAAAAAAGCTTTTATTATTCATTTTGCCGTATCTATTTAAAAAATAGCAGCAGAGTAGTCAATGGTAGATAACAAAAAAATTGACAATGATAATGAATTTTGTTTTACAATTAATTATTACATAAATGTAGTTGGAATTTGGTGGCTGCAAGAATAAATCAAATTTGTAAAAAAAAAAATTTATATTTTCATTATTTATCATTTTTCTGCGAGAGAGAGAGAAAAAAAAACACACACACCGTTTAAAAACAATAAACTTTAAATTTGTTTAAAAATAAATAAAATTAATAACAAATAAAAACATTAAATATATATAAATATGTATAAATATTTATATGTATATGTATATGCATATCATTATGATTATGATTATGATTATGATTATAATTATTATTATTATTATTATTATTATTATTATTATTATTATTATTATTATTATTATTGTTATAAGATAATAATTAATAAATATACAATGTTTAAAAATAATAAATTGCTAATGTGTTGCCATGAAATATAAATGAATCAATGAAATTACAGATGAAGCCACCAATTCCTTGTACATAGTTATGTGCTTGTTACGAGGCTACATCGTGCGAATTTCTCTTGTATTATTATTACAATTATTACATCTGTTTGAAGTATGGAAGCAGCATGCCATTTATTTATTTTATTTTATTTTATTTTTTTTTTATTATTATTATTATTATTATTATTTTTGATATAGCACTATAATATTATGTTTGAAGTTTCCATCTAAAAATGACTTCAAAAGGAATCACGTCGTAGAAGTATCGTGTTAGGAAAAAAAAAACTTTGACAACACACATTATGAACACGTATGTGAAGTTTTTTTCTTTTTTTTTTTTTCTTATTGACTTCTACCATCCGGATTCCTATAAGAACCTTTTTATTTTCATTTTTTTCTTGTTTTTTTTTTTCTTTTTTCCGTATTCATAACAATTACATAGATATCACGCGTGCATATTGTTTTTTTTTTTTTTTTTTTATAAATATAATCTCGCCCCGTCTGTTATTATTATATTGCAATACGAATTTTGTATAATGGAAAATATTGTGGTTTTTTTTTTTGTTGTTTTTTAACTTTTATTATTAATTTTTTGTCAATTTTTATTTCTTTTATTTCTTTTTTTGTTTTGGTTTTTGTTTTTTGTTTAATTCTTTTTCGTTTTTCAAATAAGCTCTCAAATGCAACTTTGAAACACGTCATTCAGTAGTAAAAAAAAAAAAAAAAAAATTCAATAAATATAGAAAAGTTATGTTGAAGAACATTGTAATAGAACAAGATTTAACAACATTGCTTGATTAAAAATATATAAAGGATGTTTCATAATAAAAGTGTTATTAGATTTTGAACTATTAAATAGCGTATTAGACTGTCATATTCTATGATACATGACTGCATATTTAAATACAAATTGGGTTGTTCCATTTGAAGACAAACACTGTCGTGGACTATTAGAGTTACAAAAGTAGCTAGAACTTTGAGATAAGATTAAATAAGACACATATTTGTATAAACATTTTTCATTATCATTGTATCTCTCGTCCACTATTTCTGAAATGAATCCCACGTATTATGAAACATCCCATATATAAAAAAAAATCTTCTTGCCATGAAACAACAAAAATAATCAAAAAAAAAAAATTTAAAAAAAAATTAAAAAAAAAATGAGAAATGCATAATTGAATTGTTAATGAAAATCAAGAACGGAATGATATACATAAAAACACAAGATAAGAGAGCGAGATATTATTTTGAAGAGAATACACATTTATATTAATTTATTAGTTACTTGTTTTTTTTTTCTTTTTCTTTTTATTTTTTTCTTAGCTTTGATTAGGCTAGTTTTTTTTTTTTTTATCATGAAAATCAAAGTTTTCGGATACGTTCGTTTAATTGTATGTTTTTTTTTTCCTCCTAAATACTGTTTATAGATTATGTTTGTTTTTTTTTTGTTTTTTTTTTTTTTAAGTAATATATAATATAAGCGTTTATTTTTTTATTTTTTGTGATTTTTAGTTTTTTTTTCTTTTCCTTGTTGTTGTTGTTGTTGTTGATAGCTAGTGTGTGTGTGTGTGTGTAACGATATTATAGAATAATTTATAATGGCATATTTGCTTGTTTCCTTCGTAATTCTAACAAAATTGAATCATTACACCGTAGTAACTGGAGAATTATTATAAAAACATTGGAAACCAAAGGTCTTTTTTTTTTTTCAAGCCACTGTTGTTTAACATCTATCATATATACCATCATGTAATATTAGTACAAATGCACCAATAAAAGAAGTACCTTTCATTAATATGTAAATGATGATACTGGACCAACTGATAAATATATCCCAAATATTTATGTTTTAGTAATATCCATAGGTGATCCAGTTGATCCGCTTGTATTAGTGCTAGGATTTGTTAACTGAGGACCGCCAGGATTAACAATAGTCGGAGGAATTGCTGGCTTAACAAATCTATCAGATGTACGTCTGGTAGATGGTGGAACTATGTGCCCCTATAAAAAAAAAACATTAACATTAGTTTAAATTTAAGTCAAGATCAAATAATAACATTGAAACATTGTAATTGTTTTATTACTTACTCCTGAAGGAGGAGATGAACTAGTAAAAGGAAGAGTAGTTGGTTGACCGCACGCGTAACACCGATTAGGATTGAAATTTTCTCGTGTTACCGAACCTAATACATTATTACCTGTTAATGATAAATAATTAAAGATTTACACTTTCATGTATCTTTCAATTATTTATATATTTCATTTTGCATATAATTGCATTTCATTATTGTATACTTTCATACTATATATTTAAATACCTGGACTGAGTGGTCTGGAAGAACTAGGAGAAGGATTGTACGGAATGGGACTTGAGACCGTACGACTTCTTATGTTTCCACCAGACATTACTATTTCATTATAATGACGTTCCTCTTCCATTTCCAAACTATTAGAAAGACAATTGAATAAACATTAGGTCATCGTACATACATATATATATATATATATATATTTAAAATAATGCAAGAGTAAATACCTGGATTCTGATTCTGATAGATGTCTACACAAAGCTTCTCGACGTTCTACTTCTAGTTGTAATTTTCTTTGCAGTCTTAAATTTTCCTCACGTATTTGCTTTTCTTCGTTAACGTAACGTTGCATCTTCTCCGTATCTAAAATACATTATAATATTATAGAAATAAAATAGCATATATCAAAAATATCAATATATTGCAATAATCAAATATACTAACGTTCTTGTTGTGAGATTAATAAAGTATGCCTCAAGCGTGCAACCTCACTTCTTAAAGTTTGAATATGTGTACTTAAATTAGTTGCAGTATCACCATTGTTTATTTCCCTCGGTGAAGTTGGATCCGATACAGGTTGATCCAATTTGATTTGAAGCATTCTCTTCTCTGCTTCCAACTTGTCCATTCGTTTCCATAATTTATTAACCAATGCTTCTTGCTCTTGTTCCAAAGTATTTTCCAATTCAACTTTTTCTCTACGCAATTGATCCAAATTACTTTGCTTTGCAAGAGTTTCTGCTTCCAATTTTTCGATTTTTCTCATTAACTTGTTTACAAGACATTCTTGTTCTTGTTCTAATGTTTGTTCCAAACGACATTTCTCTTGACGTAATTGATTCAATTTCCTTGACAGATCATTCGTTAAACATTCCTCCTCTTGTTCGTAATGGTGTGCTAATGTTTCTTTCTCTTTCTTAAGTGCCTGAATCTTCTTCAATAAGGTATTGCTTATAAATTCTTCTTCCTGTTCTGCTTTAGCTTGCTGTAATACAAACAATTTGATATTTTATCTTTCATACAAAATTATATCTTCTACACTAAACATAAAGTGTCATGGATTATTGAAATGCAAATGTGACTATAACTTTAAAATAAAATCAAATAGGATACATTTTGATATAAACTTTTTAATAATGTTATGTTTAGTTTGTTCATTCCTAAAGTGAAAACATATATTATGAACCATCCTGCACTTTAAAATTATTAAGTATATGACATATGTCATCTAATATACTTTAACTATAATAAATATAAAAATGTAATTCCTTTTAAAAAATCAGACATTAAGTAGACATTGAAAAACATAATACAGGTTAGAAAAGAGAAAAATATATGGAAGAAGAATATGTTTCTTCTTTTTTTTTTTGGTTGTTGTAAAAAAAAGAATTCTTTTCAAATATGTTTCCTAACCCCAAAAATGATACATACATATGCACACACATATAGAATGTACATTTATAAAATATAAAAATATACATATATATAAAAAAAAAAGTATTTAAAAACATACTATAATAACAGAAGCTTGACGAAGGCTGCGATTTTCTTCCTGCAGTGCCTTGACTCTCAATTTATATGTCTCAAGTTCAACTTTGAGAACACGATTATGTTGTTGAAGCGATTCAATTCTTTTTTGTAATTGTTCACGAGAAATTGGTGATGGTGGCATCATAATCGGACCACCGTCGATTGAACTCGAGTCGCTTTCGGATGCGCTATCACGGTCAGCCATTTTTCTCGGCTATGAGAAATATTATTCAAAAAATACTATCTAGAGAATATTGTTCATTTCACAAATAAGTATCTGATAAGGAAGACGTATTTGAATCTTTATTAATTTAATTAGATTTTAATCAAGCACGTATTATACTATTAATTATTTAAACTTGTCCTTTAAATTCTTATACTTGTACCGCACCAAACATGTGCTTTAAACCGAAACAAATCAGCTGTTTCGTCTTTCACCGACTATTTAAAAATAGGTGTGGGCGCGTCGGCGAGCTCTCTGCGCACTGCAGAATTTTTAAGGTTATTTTCATGAACATGTCATAACGATTATCAACAATGCACAATATTGCATCTATCTATTAATAATATATATATATTTATCATTCAAATGATAGATAAAATAATTATAGAATTAAATAAATCAAATAGTTCAATATAAAACATTTAATAAGACATATTTTTATGACTTAAGGATTGTTTCAATTGAATGGTTTTATTTGTCCTGTTCTAATTTCCAATAAAAGTTATTTCATTATTATTTAAAGGTTAGATATATTTGTTATTTTATTTTTGTATAATTTATATCATTAAAATAATATTAAATAGAAATAATAATAGAGTATGCAGTGTTACAATAAGAATGAATACTTTAAAGTCTGTTTGCATTGAACGACAGTATATCATCTGCAGTCAATGTCAAGTAGATTACCAATAAGAAGACATTGTGTCATTTCTATGTCTAGTTCATGGATTTAGGATGTACTGTAATAATAGTATTATTCTATTGAATCTTGTTTAAAAAAAAAAAAAAAAANTGTTTAAAAAAAAAAAAAAAAACACATAAAATATTTAAGTTGTTTATTTATAATTAAATAATTGCAAAGATCAAGAAGAAAGATACAATTGTTTAAAAAGTACTTACAAGAAAGGTACAGTTGTTTATTTTGAACATTCATATTTTTAACCATAATAATATTTATTTTTTTGCTAAGAATATATTTTTGATTATGAACTTGCAATGAAAATTATTTGTTTTTGTTTTTTGTTTATTAGCAAATACAAGAAAGAAGAACAATGTTACGCAGTATCAGAAAAACAGTAGCACTGGGAATGCGTTCATCAAATTATTTAATGCCTGTTAAAATATGTTCCCCACATTATTTGTACAGTTGTCAAAAAGCAGTAACAGTACAAAATAATATGGAACAAAAACGATATTATAAAAATTTTGGTCATAGAACTAAGCCACATAACAGACATGATTACATGGCTATGCTAGCAGGAACAGCTTTACTTATTGTTATTGGTTACATGGCAAAGTAAGTAAATCATTTTAATTATAAAAATAATAACAGTATAATTATAAATATTTTCTCTTTTAGGATAAATTATATAGGAGAAAGCAAATATGTGAAATTTCCAAGAGTAGATGCTGCTGTATTATTACATGAAAATGATGAAGAAGAAGAAGATGATGATAATGTGGATAACGTTGAACAAGATGATCAGAAAAAGAAGAAAGGAAAGAAAGAAAAAACTGGATTTCGTGATAGAAAGGTTGAATAATATTGTACAAGTAATAATTTATCGAGTCATTTTAGATCTAGATAAATAATAGTTAAACACAATCAATCATTTAGATTATTTAACACTTAACTTTGTGATTTATAAAAATTTCAATGAAATATATAATATGATTTGTTTCTGTATTTAAAATAGAAAATTTGACAACGACAACACATAGATTATTTTATGTGAAATTATAATGATCAAATATAAAAAAAAACAAAAAAAAAAACAAAGTTAGTAAAGATGGAGACATTTTTACAGATAATAGAATATGAAAATAGAATGAGAGCTTATTCGACACCAGATAAAATTTTTCGATATTTTGCAACAGTAAGAGTAACTAGTTTAGATGGTACAGAGATTTTTATGACACCCGATGATTTCTTAAGATCTATTACTCCTGGCATGAAACAACCGGATGGTAAAATACATTCAGTGCATATATATATATATTGAATTAACAGTATATTGGCACTGTTACAATTACTTTTTTATCTTTTTTTTTATATTACTAACAGATAAAAATACTAACATTGAAACAAGACAGGATTTTATTGCTATGAACCAATTGCAACTATTAATTATCGAATTTTGATTAATATTTTATGAAGGCATTAAATGGAAAAAATCAAAACGTTTTTACAAGCAATAAGAGTCAAGTAATTTATACTAACGCTATAATATATTTTTAAAATACAGATAATAGAATATGAAAATCGTATAAGACATTATTCAACGCCAGATAAAGTATTCAGATATTTTGCAACACTTCAAATAACTACTAATGATATACATGAAGTATTTATGACACCCGATGATTTTTTGAGATCAATGACACCTGGTATTAAACAACCTGATGGTAACTTTCTAAATATCAAATGTTCAATGTCTATATCTTTGTTGTATCTGTTTTCTTTCTTAATTTATATCATTCTGTTGTACTTATTGATTTTATTTTCATGCCTTCAATAGAAATATCCAAATGTAATTATACGTTTTACAAAATATACGTGACGTTATTAATTATGTGTTTTTAAAAAAAGCGTTGTAATATTGCATGATCATGATTTTATTGCTTATTAATAATTTAATACATTCAATTTGTATTTCACATATACATATATATATATATATATAATAATTATCTCAAATCATTTTTTAGGTCTTGGATTAGATCAATATAAAAAATATGATCCCAAGGTACAGTTAATACATTTTTTTAAGTACTTACATTTATTGTAAATGTAACATTGTATTCTATTCTTTTGTAGAATATTCATGAGAAATTAGAATTAGCATTAGATGAGAACAGTATCTTTTATAAACTTGGTAGTGCTGGACTTATTACATTCTCTGATTATATTTTTTTATTAACGGTGTTATCAAGTAAGTTCAATTAATATTCTTAATGTTTATATCATTTCAAAAAAACTAAGATAAAATAGATATAAATAAATATATTTATATTCTAGCATCTAGACGTCATTTTGAAATAGCATTTAGAATGTTTGATTTTAATGGCGACGGTGATGTAGATTCTGAAGAATTTGGTAAAGTTGCTACGTTAATTCGTCAACAAACTAGTATTGGTAATCGTCATAGAGATCATGCCAATACTGGTAACACATTTAAGGTTTGATTTATTTACTAATTGAATATAAATTAGTACAATTAAGTTATTTAATAGGAGACATTTTTTTATAGGGTGTAAATTCAGCTTTGACAACTTATTTCTTTGGTCCTAATATGAAACAAAAGTTAACGATAGAAAAATTTCTAGACTTTCAGGAACAATTACAAAGAGAAATTTTAAGTCTCGAGGTATTACATTTTTACTTTTATGATTTATTTTTATTTATAAATTTTCTAATAATATATATATATATTTTTTTTTTTCAGTTTGAACGTAGAAATCCGGATAAAAATGGGAATATAAGTGAAGTTGATTTTACTGAATTGTTATTAGCGTATGCTGGTTATTCCGATAAGAAGAAAGCAAAAATGTTAAAGAGAGTTAAAAAGACGTAAGTATAAATAATAATGATAATACAAGTTTTTAAATGTTTATAATAATATAATCAAATTTGTATGTAGTTTCAAAGAAAATCCTAAAGGAATTAATAAAGAAGAGTATCTCAAGTTCTTCCATTTCTTAAATAATATTAATGATGTTGATACAGCTTTGACATTTTATAATATCGCAGGTGCTTCTATCGATCAAGGTATCTTTCTATAATATTTTTTTTTTTTTTTTTATTATAATTTTAATCAATTAGGTATTCACAAAATATATATTTTTCAGCAACGTTAAAACATGTAGCAAAAACAGTTGCTCATGTAGACTTAAGCGACCATGTTATCCAAGTTGTTTATACAATATTTGATGAAAACTGTAAGTTCCATTTCTTTCTATAATTTTTATATTGTATAATAAATATTATTAAAAGTATATAATGGAATAATAATTATTATGTTTTTTGTCTAGTGGATGGACAACTTAGTAATCGAGAATTTATAGCAGTGATGAAAAATAGAGTACTTCGTGGCTTAGAGAAACCAAAAGATACAGGATTTATCAAATTAGTGCAATCATTAATGAAATGTGCAAAAAATAGTTACTTAATTCCTGCATTTGATAAATAATTAATTATTTTTTTTAGTAATAATAATAATATTAATTCTTTCAATTGCTTTTGTATAATAATTTTCTAGCAATGAAAAAGTTATTTATTTCATTTAAGTTATTCCAATCATCTATCTATTTATAAATTTATAATACTATGATGCTTAAGACTGTAAAATTTGATTGTTGTCTAAAATAAAAAATATTCAATAATTTATATTGTTAAATAGACATATCTCATAATTTACTTCGCAGTAAATATTATCTTTGAGTGTAAAATGTGAGAGTGTGAAGAGGTGTGAGTGAGAACACTTAAAAACATGAATGGACCAAAGAGTATTGAATATAATCAGGCAAAAGATAAACTATGTAAAATAAACAGCCGAATAGGAATATCAAGAGCATTGTCTAAAGAAGTAAATTAAAGAAAAGAAAGCGAGAAGCCAGTCATCGTTTAATATCCAAGCAAGGAAGACATTTTATTATACCATTACTCTCTTTGTATTTGTATTTCATTTATATTAAATATATTGCATATCCCTGAAGAAAGGTTTTCCATCTGCATCAACCTATTGACAACACCGTGGAATTCCTTCCTTTTTTTTTTAATTGTTAGATATCCTTTCGGAAGACTAACAGGAGAAGGGAAATCCCCCATAACTGTATAATATAATATTGTCAAACTATAGGATACAGTGAATTCCTTTCACATCTGTTTATTAAATAGAGCATAACACGTAGAATGTCTTCAGTTTCTTTTTAGCATTCAATTGTATTTTCTTGATCGTATAACATATTATTTAGTTAATTTTGCAATTATTAATTTACTTAGTGTGTTTAAATCATATATTGTGTTATTAAAATGATTAAAAACAAATATGTAAACATAATAGTGCTGTGGCAATTTTTTATAATTATAAATGTTAACGCTGAACGTACACAAGTTCGCATGAAGATTGACGTACCAAGTAAGTTGTTGTTTTACAAAATTTGTTAATAAATAAAACATAGAATAATATACGTCGAAAGTTACTTTTTTTTTTTTTCTCATATTATTTTATCATCAAGATAATAATTTTTGTGTTTACAGTAGATTCAAGTTCAGATGCAACAAAAAATAATGATGATGATGATGATTCACCACAAAATGATATAAAGAACGAATTGATTAAACAAGGACAATTTTTTAGGTAATTTACGGCATAATTATTTATTAAAAAAAAAAAAAAAAATAAACGGGAATACCTTTTTTCTTTTTATTTTTGTTTTTTATAATTGTTTTAAACAGGGATTTGTTCTCCGAGCAATTGTCCGAGCATGAAATTGAATTTGGTCATGTATGCGAAAATCCCGATGAATGGGAGCAACGATTCGAACGACAGGATATGAAAGCAAATAATTATCGTGGAAAGGTATAATAAATAATATTTTTTTTCTTTTTTGTTTTACATTATATTCTAATCTTAATTCTATTTATTATAATAATATTTATATTTTAGGTAAAATGGGGTAACAAAAATGGAGAATATGGAGAACATTATTGGGATTTGAATTATTAAATTAAATAACATTGAGAAACTTTTGATTATTAAAATTAATATTTTAATAAATAAATCCTAAAAAAAATGTTAAAACAATTATGTCCAATAAATCCCGAAACACCTTGTATAAAAAATAAAATGAAATTATTTAGATGGCGCTATGTCAATTTGTAATAGCAATATGTGAATGATATTTCGCTGTAAAAATAAATTGAGTAATAATATTTATTTTAAAATTAATAAGTTGAATATATATTCAAAATGGAATTACCAATGATCAAAGTTTTATTCAACGAAACTTCCTATGAAAATAAAGATCTTCAAAAACGACCCGTTCAATCTATGTCAAATATAATGTTGATTAGCGATGTTTTGGCTAAACGAATATACAATTGTCAAAATAATGGTAATCATTATTTTATAATACATTTATACATTTTTTTTTTTATATAAATCTATATATATATATATATATATATATANTATATATATATATATATATATATATATATATATATATATGTTTTATACAAACAGATTTAATAGAAAAAGAAGATACGGAAGATAATGATCGATATTGGGCAGATAAATTAGCAGCTTTAGATGAGGATCATACGAAAAGAAATAAACTCGATAAAAAAGAAATAGATCAACTTTTTCGAAAAGTTGTAAATTATGCACAACAGACGAATGATAAAGCTTGTTTGTATGAACAAGCAAAGGTATCGTTATTAAACAATTCATTTATACAATTACATAGATAATCGTTCCTTAATAATACTATTAAGGATATTATTTCTTCTACAGGTTAAAGATTGTTATAATCAAAATAAATGTCAAACACTTCGTTGTAACGAAGAAGTTGACAATTTTATCAATTGTGTTAATAAAATGTTTTACAAATCTGTTCGCACTGATAACAACGATATCTATCCATTGAATAGAAAGTACACATACAATGAAAAATTCAGACGAGGATATTTATTTCTATAAATATTATATTATCATTAAATATATATACACGCACGCACACAGAATAAAGAAATGTTTCAAATAATAATAATAATAATGTTATCAATCAAATGTAAACAAACATGTAACCTGATACATCAGCATCGGTGGTTCAGTGGTAGAATGCTCGCCTGCCACGCGGGCGGCCCGGGTTCGATTCCCGGCCGATGCATCTTATTTTTTTTTTTTATTTATTCTATAAAAATTTAGTCTTTTTTTTGTTAACAACAAGACATTACAGTTGTGCCTGAATAAATTTTAACGAGTTTTGATATATTAGTAGTAAACCTAACGATTCAAAAAAAAAAAAAACAATAATACGAAAGCATAAAAACAGATTCTAATTTGTTTATCATATATCTGACGTAACACGTTGTGTGTGTATTTCATATTGAAAAATATAATTTATTATAAATAAATAATATTAATATGATCGAGGGAACACGAGTATTTCCAACAAATGGATCACAATCTATGATCAAACATCGTCTAAATGCAGCTGAGAAAAGTTATATACTTTTAAAAAAGAAATCTGACACCTTGTTAGCCTATTTTAAAACGATATTAGCAAAATTATTAGAAAAGAAATCAATTTTAAAAGAAGTTATGAAAGAAGCATCATTTTCATTGGCCGAAGTTAATTATATAACCGGTAATATAAATCAATTTGTATTACAATTGGCAAATAAAGCAACGATCAAAGTGTTATCGCGAAAAAATATTATCGTTGGTGTTAATATTCAAACATATGAATATTACGAAGAAGGTTTCGATCCTTTTCTTTACACTGGTTTAGCCAGAGGTGGACAACAGGTATCATCATCATTATTATTATTATCAATAATTATATTCAACATTTGTTATGTTAAAAATATGAATATTTTACAATGGCAGGTACTCAAAGTGAAAAATAATTATCGAAATGCATTGGAACTGTTAATTCAATTAGCATCCTTGCAATCTAGTTTTATAACATTGGAGAAACATTTAAAAGTGACGCATCGTCGTGTCAATGTATTACGTTATATTATTATACCACGATTAAAATCTACATTGACGTATATTGCAACTGAATTGGAAGAACGCGAGAGAGAGGACATTTTTAGATTAAAAAAGATGCAAACACAAAGAAAAATCAAGTCAAACGTGATAAGAAATATTTCAATTATTCAAGAAACTAAAAAAGCTATCGATGACGACACTGACCATGATTTACTTTTTTAAAAAGCATTTGTTTGTTTTTTTTTTCTAATAATTAACATATCAATAATAAAATAATAAATAAATACCGAATAAAATCCACATAGTTAAAATAGAAATTTCGAAAGAAAATAAACTTTAAAATAATAAAAAGAGAAAAATTGAAGAACATCAAAAGTTTCTTTGGGAAGGACAAGAAAGTAGAAATAAATATAAAAATTTATTGAATGGGACTTTTTGAATGAGGGAGAGAGAGAGAGAGAGAGAGAGAGAGAGAGAGAGAGAGAGAGAGAGAGAGAGATGACGACTGAGGGAGGATGGAATTTTTCACGTCAGTTCCAATGAGAAACGAGTTACGAAAGATTCCTCTCTTTCTCTTTCCCCCTCAAAGAAGAACAGAGTCCTCCACGTTTCGGAAGCAAGCTCCCTACACTTTGAAGACTTTCTTGGACCAGCAGCAACAGCAACAGCAACAGCAACAGCAGCAGCAGAGGAGGGACCTTTAGAAGGGTCGACTTGAGGAGCAAGCAACATACACAGCCAGGCTCTCATTATCATATCCCAGTGTTTGGCGGCGGTTAAGGTTGGCTTTATGGGGCTGTATTTTCTTCGTATAATTGGGCTTCGCGCTCCGGTGCTTCTTTCTCCTTCGTCTTCTCCTTTTTCTTCTTCTTCTTCTTCTTCTTCTTCTTCCTTTTCCTCTTCTTCTCTCTTTCTCTCACTCTAACTCTGTGCATCCTCTTTTTCTCTCTGTTTGTGTGTATTTGTGATTATATATATATATGTGTGTGCCTATGGTGCCTCGAGCATTTATTATACTTCGAACCCAACAACAACAACCATTTCTGTCCCTTTATCTTATTTTTACTATTTTTATTTCCCYCCTCCCACTCCCCTCCCTCCCTCCCCCTTCTTTTCATTTCTTTTCTTTTTTCCTCCTTATATATATTTTTATTATTATTGTTATTATTTTAATCTAAAATATGATCATACGAATTTAACAATGTTTCATGTGTGTGTATTTTCTTTAATTTATAGAAGTTACTTTTATGTAAAATTAAAATACATACAAATACAACAAAATGCAACTAATTTTGCATTCCCCCTTTTTTATAAACTTTGTTCTTGTTGAATTTATTAAATCAAATTTGTTTGTTCATCCTTTTTTTTTTTTTTTTTGAAAAATATGTTGGATGTTCCATTAAACATTTTTGTTGAAAATATAACAATTCTAAATTTAATCAATTCCATAATTACGGCACGTGTTATAAGGGTGAAGAAAGGGAGGAGGGTGACAAAGATAAAGTTTGAAAAGAGGGGAGAGGTAAACAGATGCCGCCACCAGCGATGCTTCAGACGCTTCTTAGAAGGGCAACCGAAAGTCAGTACTACGGGAAACCCGGTTGTGGGTGGTTGTTGGTTCAACCCGTTCTCTCAAATGAACATTGCAACTATTTATACAATATCTCGCGTTGTTTATCGTAAAGACGAATGAACTCGGTGATTAATTGAAAGATAATTTTTAATAAAGTATTTCTAGTGCAATTATTAACAATTAATTAACAAACAAATAAACAAACAAACAAACGTAGAATTTCTACTTAAACGTGATATATTACAATCCAACAAATAATTATGCGAATGGGACTTTTTAACGAATGAAAAAGTGTCATTTAAATTACCCGCATAAAATTTCATCCCTCGAAACTCTTTAAAGAAAAAAAATCTCTAAAATATTGAAATCTTTTTCTACAACAACAACAATTACTCAAACAAAATTCTATTATTTTTGTTTTGTTCAACGTTCCGTACGTATGAATCATACGTAAGATTTAGATTGATTAAACCACGGTAATATAAACAAAAAAAATAAGAAAAGATCAACGTGGCGAGGGTGAGTTGAGAAAGAAAAAGCTGAGCATTTGGAAAGGCGCCTCGGATTTGAAAGAATGTAAACAAAACGTGACAGCATGTCGACGAATTGGTAAAAAAAACGACGGGTGTGCAAGGAAAACTAACAGATTAAAGAGCCCTAACTCTTCTTCTTCTTCTTCTTCTTCTTCTTCTTCTTCTTCTTCTTCTTCCTCTTGCCATCATTCTGTATTCCTTCTCTCAGTATTTTTCTATCCGACGGAAGTGCTGTCTGTTAGTGTGAGATTCGAAAAAAAAAACGAAGAGAAACAGGAAGAGGAAGAAAAAACGGGGGGAGGCGGGGGAAAGACTTGGGGAGGGAGGATTCGAAGATTTGTTTAAAAAAAAATATATATTCTTCAATTAGAAGAAAAAAAATGTGGTGGTGTTGGTGGATTTTGTTATTGATATTCTTGCAAAGGATGCAGCACGTTCTTGGAGCGTGCGAGCCTATAAGGATAGAAATGTGCCGTGGTTTGGGGTACAACGTGACCGCCATGCCGAATTTGGTAGGCCACGAGATTCAAGGAGACGCCGACTTTACCCTACAAACGTTTAGCCCTTTGATTCAGTACGGATGCAGGTGAGAACAGTGTCTCTCAAACTTTTTTTTCAATATTTAATTACGTTTAATCACATGCATCATCATCAAAATGCATATCATCTAACTTTTTCTATGTGTACGTTTTTTTATTTTCTATTTTCTTTTAACACTATTGTTTTTTTCTCTCTCTCTATTTCTTCGTTTATCTTCAAAAATTTCAATAGAAAAAAAATATAAAATTCCGTATGTTATCTAAACTATCGATAACTTATCGCAACACGTGCTAAAAAGTGCTTAAACTTGTGTCGTTAAAACCCACGTGTTATTAAAATACGAAACACGATCGTGTTTGTTATTTTATTTTATATTTTAATGACATTATAGTTTTATTTATATATTAGATGAAATGTCTCGTCAATTGTCCACATTGTCAATAAATCTAAATAATGTCGTTTATCTCAATACATTATTGACCAATTCAATATTTAAAATAACAACATAATAATAAGCAACGTTATTACTTTACTGATATTTTAACAACAAATCAAATCCTAGAAGATAAACTTCGTTTATCATGAATCGCGTTTATTTATTTAAAAAAAAAAAAAAAAAAATCCTAAATCTATTTATAAATCAAATATAGATAGTTCAAAGTTATACAGTATTATCTCGTACACAAATACTAATTCATATTTGAATAGACGAAGAAATACAGTGTAGCGTTGTACACATGTAAGAAGGAAGCTTTGAAAGCTCCGGCAAAGAACGAACATTTTCAAGATAAGCAAAGTTTAATATGTAACCAATGTTAGCAGCTGAAAGATAAAATAATCAGAGGCACCCGATGAGGTGTTACAACACAACACAGTATGCTTTTATAAATTTATAAAATGATACGAAAAGTAACTTCTGATACCCTTTTTTTTTAAATTTATCATATTGTCCCCCAATTATTTATCAATTCAATTACCTTTAATAAAATATTGTATTTTGAATTGTTTTAAAGTGCTCAGCTGCATTTATTCCTTTGCTCGGTTTATGCGCCAATGTGTACGGAAAAGGTACCGTCGCCAATTGGTCCTTGCAGAGGTTTATGCGAACAAGTAAGAGCAAGATGCTTTCCAGTTCTTCAAGGCTTTGGTTTTCCTTGGCCTGCGGCTTTGAATTGTTCCAAATTCCCACCTGTGAACAACCATCATCATATGTGTATGGATGGACCAGGTGAACCAGGTCCTGCCAATCCTATTCAGGTAATCTTGAATAAACATGAACCCTACGAATTGAAACACATGTTTTTTTTTGTTTTCCAACAAAAAAACTTGTTTAAATCAGACGAGTGACAAAAGATAAGATAAAATCAATTTACAAGTTAATCCAAATTTGAAATTTGTTTTTTAAGCCAATTGGTGCTAGCGGTGGACCATGGGGTTGTTCGTGGTATGCCAAATCTGGTTTATACGTATTCCTAAATCGTTCTGGAAGATGTGCTGCAACATGTGAAGCTGATATACTTTGGTCTCCAAAGGATAAGAAAACTACTCAAGCATGGATGACAGTTTTTACAATAATTTGCTTAATTTCTGTCATCATTGCAATACTGTCTTTGATGAAACCTAGAAAAAAAGCAGCGATCATGAATACGGCTGGTAAGATCAAAATCAAATAAATCGTACGATTATCATACATTTATTTGGTATTATGGTGATGCCTATATTTTGTAGACATTAACATAATTGGGGAATAGAAAGACATGAACATAGTAATTAGGATTGTAGAACGTAAAAAAAGAAAAGAAAAGATTCTTTTTAAAAAAATACCACCCCAATTAAGTATAATCTCTGATCTCTTACTGATCTGATTAAATCACTCTTATTTACAGAGAAAGTAATTACATGTCTGGCCGTTTGTCATGGGATCGTCGCAGTAGGTTACGTGATTCGATTAGCTGCTGGCAGATTGACCGTGGCATGTACACCCGCAATACCGTTACATCCCCAAGATCAAGCGGTCATATCTCAACACCAACAACAATATTTGACCCAGGACGGATTATCCAATCCCTACTGTGCTATAGTCTTCATCCTGTTGTATTATTTTGGCCACGCAGCTATCGTATGGTGAGTAATCCATTTATCTTTCATACAACGTGAGACGATAAAACTAAATTCGGGGAAAATTATTACACAAATTCCTAAAGAGATGATGGGGTGGATGGGTGGTGGGGTTGATGCGTTCTCTCTTCTCTAATAGAAAAAAAACATTTCTTCAATGAGAGAGAAAGATGAAAGAGGAAGAAGAGATGAGTTCTTCCTGATAATGAGATCGTAGAAGCTACAAAATCGGTACAAAAGGGTGTGTACATTTGTAAAAGGGTTTGACTCTTAGGTTCGAGGAGTATATGGTGTTGTGATGTGTAGGAAGCCACTTGGTGTGTGAGAGTGAACGTTAAAGATTGGTGGTAGGGAAAGAAGGGATAACAATCTGGCAACAGTGTTGACTCCCCTCGTGCCGCTAACGAGCCTCCAACTCCCATCTCGTCTCATCTCGTCCCGTTTATACTGTGAGCCTCGTCTTACTGTATATAACGGGTGACGTGTAAAAACATCGACCATTTCCGCTAGAACTCATATCGCATCTTGACATTATTTTTTTTTTCACGAGATTATCGTCACAACTCTTACACCATTGATCTTCCTTGATCCTTTGAATATTTCATTGAATTTCAATAAGTAAATTGATAAGATTGTTTATTCAATGATCACCGGGTATTCAATGGGGAATTTTTATCGGAGTTTAAAAGAAGTTAATTAAATTACTGGTTACTATAATAACCTTTAGAAACCGTACTATTGTTCCACGTATATATTATAACAAGTTCAATCCCAATTGAAGAATATTTTCATATATATATATGTATATGTACATCATACATACATACATATGTATGCACATATGTATATATAAGATAAAATATGCGAGATCATTGTATCAGTTGAGAGAGAGAGAGAGAGAGAGAGAGAGAGAGAGAGAGAGAGAGAAAAAGTTTACACAAAGCGAATCGAGTAGGGAGTCGGAGTCGAGTTGATCAAACGATCCGAAAAGTCTGCCCTTAACGAACGGCCCTTTATGTATACATATATATACACTTTGCTTATCCACGATCCTAATTTTGAATTCGGCAATTGTTACCGCTGATTTACATATGGCGGAATTCGAAAATACCGGCTGTGGAAGTGCCGAGGCAGGAAGAATAGAAAAAAACGAGGTGAAAGAAAGCAAGCAAGCAAGTAAGAAAGAAAGAAAGAAAGAAATAAGGAAGGAAGGGAAGGGAAGGGAAAGGAAAGGGAATGGTGGTTTCTGTAGGAGGGTTTGTGAGTAGTAGAGAATGCTGCGTATCAGTGTATAATACGTGAGCATACATACATATGTGCTAGAGAGTTAGGTACGAGATGAAAGAGGAGGTGGGTGAGGGGTACAAGCTTATGGGGAGTAAAAGGAACGAACTATAAAGAGGGGAGAAGAGGGGGGGGGGGAAATAAGGCGGGACAATGCATAGAAGTGCTATTGAGTTCATGGGATGTGGTTGTGTTCCCTGGCTCTTCGTGTGTCCGTAGGGCGCGATATTTATCGGCTCTTTCGATGTAAATTATGGCTGTACACTATGTACTTCGGTGCATTGGGCCTTCCATAGCCTACCACGATGGGAGAGAACCCATCTACTATATACATGTACTACTACTACTACTACTGCACGCTTACATGTTCAAATACCTTCTGTAGCTCTCTCGGTATTCAAAGGTATACGATCGAAAATCTTTCTACGTATATATATAATATCAGCATGTAAGAAGAGAGTTTCACGCTCAGGGTCGTTCGCTGCCCACGAGAAATCCATGAGGATGTTTTTTTTTTCTTTTTTTCCTCGTTAAAATACATAACACACGAATACAATGAGATAGAAAGAGAAAAAGAGAGAGGGGCTACGGTTGTAACAGATAAATATGAATGCATATACATGTATATGAATTTAAACCCTATCATGAGTTCTCTTTAAACATTATTTGTACTATTACCATAGTCCAAATAATGTAGGTATACCAACGAGAGAAAACGAGAATAATAAAGTAAATAGTAAAGAAAAATCAATAGTCCCTTTTTCTACGCCAATGAAGGGAACGAGAATGGTGCTACGAGGGTCCAAAAGTTGGGATGTGTTTCGAGAGTAGTACCTACACTCTCTCTCTTTCTCTCTCTTTCTCTTTGAGTAGACGACGACCGGCTGAGGTAGACCAGCAGTGTCGCCCTTTGTGCCTTTCCCTTCTCAACCAACCCCTCACCCCACCAACCTCCATTTCTCTCATCCCCTTATCCCGAGAGAAACTTTTTATTTTTCGATTTCTTTCGAACGTCGTAGTATTCTTTTTCTTCTTCTTCTTCTTCTCTCGTGCATCTCTGTTTTTTTTTCTTCTTCTTCTTCTTCTTGTTCTCTCTCCCTCCGGAGGTACTCCTCCACCAGCACGCTGTTCGGCTTTCATGGGCGTCTCAGGAACAAGGAAAAAAGGATAAGTCGTGGAAGAGGACGGGTCCGAGAGAGCTGATCCATCATCTCTCTGCTCCCCCGGTGCTCCATCGCGACTCGAACCTGCTGTCCAGTTTCTCTCTCCCTCTTTCCTACCTACCCTACTACGTTTGTCTGTTCCTTCTCTCATTCGCTTGCTTGCTTGCTTGCTTACTTGCTTGCCTGCCTGCCTGCTTGCCTACGGGCTTTGTCCCTTAAGCTCTCTCCTTCTCTTTCTCATCGCTACACAGACTTAAGGATCCGGATCCGAGAATTCCTCGATAATTTATCCGAGATAAGGCGCTCTTACAAGGAGCAACTACCCCCTCTCAACTTCAGGTTACCTCCCCACCCTCTCTCTCTCTCTCTCTCTCATCTACCTTTAGTTGTTCTCGATAACGAGCCAAACTCTCCTACCCTGATCACTTTTCAAACCCGACACCACCACCACCACCACCACCATCACCAATCTCTCTTACCCAACGTATTACTTTTATCTCTTTTCATTCCTGACTTTCTTTTTTGTTGTTGTTGTTTATCCTAAAGAAGTAAGAATTTGTCAGGGTTCCCCAGTGTCACTGTTATTGTTGTGTCGTAGAATCCTGAGGATTATATAGAATATTTATCTCTTTTTTTTTTTTTTTTTTAGGAACTCCCAGGTTGACTATTTTTACAGTAAAATTTTCCATTGTAGTTTAACTTGGACAAGAAATAATGTGGGTGGTCGTCCATATATACAATTTTGACAACGGACTTTATTAAATTGTTACGCCCTTTTCACGAAAATACTATTTTCATTTGGAATGTAAACCTTTTTTTTTTGGGTGAGTTAGGTTCGGTATGGTTCAGATTGCTGTTTTCTGTTATACATCATGGGTTTGAAAAAGGTTACAAATATATCTGATTCTTGAGAAATTTCTTCATTTTTATCTTTTCTATATATTTTTTTTCCTTTACAACTTCCGGGTATATTTTTTTTTCTTTTTTGTATTTGTAAAAAGGACAATTTTCCATTTAAATGTTGACAATAGAAATTCTTTTACAAACTTCGTGTCCCTTTCATAAAGAGATCTCATATTTTATTCTTTTTTTATTTTTTTATTTTCGCTTAACAATAGAAATCACCATCAATGTTTATTTTTAATTCGTTACCAATTTGATTCACGTATTAATCTTTTCAGTCAGATATATTCAAATCTTTTCACGTTAGAATAAGGAATTGTCATGGGGGTCGGGTTACCGTTCATTTTCTTGCAGGTACCTAAACTCTAGCAAGGTTCCTGAACGTTTCTATTGGATCTTTTATCTCTCGTTCCTTTATTTATTTTTTTTTTTTTTAAATTCCTTTGTTATTTTATTTTTTAGAAGAAAGATTTTCTCTTGTAATTTCACTTGGAAAGTGGATGGGTCCAGATACCATCTCGAACAACTGGCTTCATTAGGAACACTGTTCTTTCACAGAGATCTTATCTTATTTCGTTAAAATGGAAATAGGTGTGATCAGCATAGTAGTAGTAGTAGTAGTAGTAGTAGTAGTAGTAGTAGTTGATGTTGATGTTGGTATTGGTTTGAAAGATTTAAGGTTGGACCCAGAGTTCTCTTATTTCTCACTCCTTCTCTCTTTATCCTTTCTTTTGTCAGACCTTTCTCAGGCCATTAGGATAATCCTGCAGAATAACCTCCCCTCCCCTCCCCTCCTTCCCTCCTCGAAGCCTCCCAGATGCATTTCTACTTTAAAAGTGGATGATGGTCCATAATATCTTTTGTTATTTACTTTTCCAATCCATCACCTTTTCATAGGAATCTAATCTTTATTTATACACATATTTGTTTTTTTTTCTTCTTCTTCTTCTTCTTCTTCTTTTATAAAGAACAAAATTAGTTTTGATAGATTTTTCCTATTACCAAATATTATGTTGACCCATACACTTCAATAATTCATACCCACATAACACGATAAATTTTGAAATATTTCAACGAAAGTTTCGTAAAATAATATCAAAAAAAAATCTTTGAGAAATCTTGCAAACAGACATCATTCTAAAAATATTTGGAAAAAGATTCATCAAAGATTTGACAAGAATATTTTTAAAAAACATTTCTAAAAATATTTGACTACTGATAGAGTAAGTAATCTTCTCAGCAAGTAATCTCTGAATACGAAAGATTTTTCTTAGAAACCTTTTTTGAAAGGTTTACAGCTTTTCAAGAAATGTTTTAGAAAATTTTTCTGTTGTGTGGGTATTTGTTATCCTTTACTTTTCAATATTACCTATTTGCAATAAATCATATTGCAAAATAAGAACTTAAGAGTTTTGTAAAAATTACAATTACATATTTTTCGATTCAAAAATGAACAAAATTAACCATGGAAAAAAAGTTTCGTTAAAGTTTTTAGCTGAAGTAATAATAATAAACGATCTCGAATACTTTCATTATTACCATATTGAATAAATTACGGTGGTGATACGAGGTGTCTGATGAAAAGCAAAGCAAAAAAAAAAAAAAACAACCAAATTAAAATTAAAACCAGTTTTCTTATCTCTTAAAAAAATGTCT